TAAGTCTAAAGATGAAAGCTCTAGACTTTGAAAGTCGGGAATTGTAGTCGGTCCCCTTTTCTTCGGTGGTAGATTTAGCGACTCCTCCTCATCTGAACTTTCACCATCTGGACGTTTCTCACGTCTTCCGTACTCTTCGTCATCGGAACTTGCACCATCAGGATCTTCACATCCATCAAACCTGGTTGACAAATCCTCTTCTTCATCATGCATTTCTTCGTCTTGTCCAACTTCGACACCTTCTTGCGGACGATCTTGGCGCACTTGTTCTTCAGGGACTAGACTAGGACATGCATCTCGATCTTCGTTTTCATCAACAACTCCCTTCTGAACTTTTTCTTTGATCTCAACACATAAACGAACCGTTTCGTTTTCGTTCTGGAATTGATGCAAAAAACTCTGCAGCTGTCTTGAATTACCAACAAACACAGGAGGTGTATCCAGAGGTAATTTCCGCCGGACTTCAGACGACAACATATAGCTGAACTGAAGCTCATAAAGATGTTGATCCAACCCAAAATCTTCATATGCGATTTCAACCAAATCGGCAAATGACATTTTGCGGTCTATCCCTATAAAACTACATCTCCTTGACTGATCTACGATGAAGACCCACCTCGTTTTCTTTAAAACCCAGTTACCACAAACCAAAACAACTTGATCCATGAATATAAAAGTGGATAAGAGGCAGAAGATCGAAGTAGAAGGAAAAAATCAAGAGCTATCCCAAGTTTAACAGCTCGACGGCGAAACCTAGAGGTTGAAGATGGACTCTGGTTTTGTTCCGTACTTTAGACAATACATACAGGGCAAAAAAGTAAAATCGCACTGCCCGATAACTAAGTCTACCACATTGATATTGAATCTAACAATTTACAAACAAATCTACCATATAGGTTACTAAGTCTACCATTAATAAAACATATGTACTTGTAATGTTTATAGCTCTACCAACTAAAGTACAGTACATTTAAGCAGGTGGAAAACCAGTACAAGTCCGTTTCCTTATGTTTAGTAGATTTATATTTAGTCGAATGGTAGACTTATATTATATTGTTGGTAGATTTGTTGTAAAAGACTTGTCATGTTCCCAATTTCAGTCGAACGAATGGTAGACTTATATTATATTGTTGGTAGATTTGTTGTAAAAGACTTGTCATGTCCCCAATTTTAGTCGAACGAATGGTAGACTTATTATTATATTGTTGGTAGATTTGTTGTAAAAGACTTGTCATGTTCCCAATTTCAGTCGAACGAATGGTAGACTTATTATTATATAAATAACACAACATAACTTCATAAGTCTACTTCATAATAAAAACAAATCTACTTAACTAAACAGAAGTCTTTTTGACGACTACTGATGCAATCAACGTGGCCAATCCATAGCAAACGACGGTACTACCCACCAGAAATTGGCACACTCCAATTTCCAGAAGCAGGATTCACAAAGTTGATCCCCATACGTCTCTAGCAGGTATTCATCTCCCATCCATTGCATGTCTGGTACTTTGAGACAACCACAAATCCTTGTAGTTAAAGACTTTTTATAAGCCTCGAAAACCATTTCCACCAGTTCCTCGGGCTTCTGGAAATTGAACGCAGGCATGAAGATCTTTTCCATTGCCAATCTCATTTGCTTTGCATCTTCCCGGGAGAGAGCTTTGACAGAGTTGAATACCTCTGATGTGCCATCCATGGTTAGATGTAACATAGTGTGGCAGTACTTACCCATGAGAAATCCGTTGTCTGATGCCATTCGAATGAGATCACACCCTGCTTGGAGGTTATGTTCGAAGAAAATCAGCGATAAACCTCTTCGCAATTGTGCGGATGGATTTCCTGCCGCCAAGCACCGTCTGAAGAATGCACCGACCCTTCCGTGAACATCCCACCTCCACGGCAACATAATGTTGATTAAATCAACATTCCTAAGAAAACCCGCTTCGTTTGAGATGTTGTTAAGTGTTTTGGATGAAACTTTTGCAAGACAAAGATCCGCATACGAGTTTGAAGATATTTTCAACAATATCTCGTACAAAAGATCAGAAGGAAGCGACTCGAGATTCGCCATAGGGTTTAGAGGGATGGGAAATGAATCGTCTAGGTTTAGGGAATTTATAGAGAACTCACACGAGAACTCGAAGCGATCGAAGCGATAGAAGTTCTCAAAATCGATGCGACTGTTCGTTGGATGCATAAGTCTACCATATGCGACGGTTCGTTGGTAACGGTTTATGGTTACCGTTACCATAAGTCTACCATATGGAAGAAAATTGTAAGACGTAAAATTGCAACACTGAAACCGTAAGTCTACCAAACAGTAGGTTTTTTTTGTAGATAGAACAATTCTTTTGGACAAAAAGGTAATTTTACTCCATAAAGTCAAATGTCTGCCAAATATTAAATACTAAGTCTACCTCAACCATGACAAATAACTCTACCATATAAACAAATCTACCATAAGCATGTCATATGTCTACCAGATCAAGGTTAACTCTGTAAATACCAAACTTAATTAATCTACCACATTGTTATTTCAACAAGTCTACCATACGGCAGATAAGTCTACCAGATTACATAAACTCTACCAAACCTACAAACAAATCTACCAACATCTTGTAAGTCTACTTCATGTCATTATTAATCTACCACAAATCAGAATGAAATTTTTTAAAAATATAAGTCTACCACAAAACAAATAAATCTACCAACAGTTTTTAAGTCTACCACATGTAACATATAGTCTACCACTAACCGAAATCAATTTTAACTGAATTAAATCTACCACAAGTCAAACAAATCTACCTCAAAAGCGAAAACTCTACCAATTATATATAACTCTACCATGAAACAGATAAGTCTACCGCACGTATTGACAACTTTTTTCACATAAATCTACCACTAAATAAAATAAGTCTATCAACTCAGAAAATAAATCTACTTCATTGTCAATAAATCTACCGAAAAAGTCAACTATGCGAGAAAGTCAACGTTTTTGTTAACAAGTCTACCAAAACTTTTGACAAGTCTACCATTCATAACAACAAATCTACCGAAACATAATAAATCTACCTCTTATCGTCAAAACTCTACCAAGGAAAGTCTACCAACATTTAAAAACTCTACCAACTCTTGAATAAATCTACCATCGCCCTAATAACTCTACCAACAAAATTTCTGCGTTGACCAAAATGTCATACGTCTACCACAAAGCTTGGTAGACTTTTGAAATTTTTAGCGCCAGAATCTGCCTACGTGGCATTAAAAAAGTAATGGCATTTTCGTAATAAGGTTTTTTTCAACAAAGACCAAAAGGGTGTTTTGGGTATGCTAGGTTAGTTTTGTAAAAAAAATAAAAGTGCGTCGAACCAGTAACATAGATACTTTCTAAGGTTAGTGTAGTAATCCTCCCATTTTTTTATACAAAATTTTTCTTTAATTTACGGCTCATTTTTTCTTTAGTTATAAAATTGTTTATTTTTTATAAAACGGCACATTTGTTATTTTAGTTTGCGGCCACTTTAAACTCAGGGCCGGCTCTAAGGTGATGGAGATATATACAGTAAAAACTCTATAAATTAATAATGTTGGGACTTTGATATTTTATTAATTTATAAAGTTATTAATTTATAGATTTCAAAGAAAAAATATTTTTTATTTTTTATTAATTTAAAAAAAATTCTATAATTTTAAAAAAATTCTTTCTAAAATTTAAAATAAATTTCAAAAAAGATTTTAATTTAAAATAAATAAAATGCATCATTATACTCATATTTTAGTAGATTATCTCATGTATATGTTTAAATCAGATTTTGTTTATGGTAATTATTAATTTATGATAACAATGAGACCATAAATTTACATAGAAGTTTTATTAAAGTTATTATCTTATCGAATTGTGTCATATTTTGAAATAGTCCAACTCGGGACTATGAAAAATTATTAATTTATAGTGTTTATTAGTTTATCGAGTATTAATTTATAAAATTTCTACTGTATAGTGAACTTCCTTTGTCGGTTAAAAAAGGGAAAGTAAAGTAAAGTAAATTAAAATAAAAGGACTTTTCAATTTTCTTTTTTTGGGATTTAATAGAGAATGGCAGAGGATCTAGGTTCTTTATTAATGCATTACTCTCTTATAAACAAAAAATATTGAGAGAGTAATGAATTAATAAAGAACTCTTAACTAAATTAGGATCTGATATTAGATATAT